CCGCGAGCGCAGCGCACGCAAGTTTGCCCGCCAGATCGGCAGCGCACTCGAATACTGCCACCGCAACAGCATCGTCCATCGCGATCTCAAGATCGAAAACATCCTCATCTCCAAGACCGGCAACATCAAGATCATCGACTTTGGCCTCAGCAACCTCTTCTCGCCTCACTCCCACCTCTCGACCTTCTGCGGCTCCCTCTACTTTGCTGCGCCCGAGTTGCTCAACGCAAAGGTCTACACCGGCCCAGAGGTCGACGTCTGGTCGTTCGGCATCGTGCTCTACGTGCTCGTGTGCGGCAAGGTGCCGTTCGACGATCAGAGCATGCCTGCCCTGCATGCAAAGATCAAGCGCGGTCAGGTCGAGTACCCCGCCTGGCTCAGCGGCGAGTGCAAGCATCTCTTGTCGCGCATGCTCGTCACCAATCCGGCCAACCGCGCCACGCTCGCCGAGGTGCTCGCGCATCCTTGGATCGTCAAGGGCTACGACGGCGCGCCCGACCCGCATCTGCCCGACCGCACGCCGCTTCGTCCCCACAACCTCGATCCCGAAGTCATCAAGGGCATGGTCGGCTTCGAGTTCGGCACGCCCGAGGCCATCACCGCAAAGCTCACCGAGGTGCTCACGAGCGAAGCCTACCAGTCCTCGCTCCACCACTGGGAGCTCAAGAACTTGCCTGCAAGCCTCAACGGCCTCAGCACCGCAGCCAACTCCGGCTCCTCGCTCGATTCCTCCACGCTCAACCGTCTATCCACGCGCGGAAGCACGGGCGCTGCCAGCGGCTCCGACACGGTCAAGTCCAAGACTGGCTCACGACGCTTCTCGGGCATCGAATTCTACCGCAAGAAGCTCACCAGCAACCCGCTTGCGGCTGCTTTCGGCAGCAAGGACGACTCGTCCATCGGCTCCGCCAACGGCTCCAACGGCCTCGGCTCGGGCACAGGCCTTCTGCCGTTTGGCAAGGAGCCGCTGGATCCCACCCGTGGCTTCCACCCGCTCATCTCGATCTACTTTCTCGTCAAGGAAAAGATGGACCGCGAGCGTCTGTATGGTCATTCTTTCTTTGCATCGTCCAATCTCTCGCTCAATGGTCCGCCCGTGCCGCCTTCGGGCGCCGCCGGTATCGGTGCGGGTGCGGGTGCGGGTGCGGGTACG